AGATGCGCTGTACAAGAAGGGTACTAATGGTATCGGGACATACGTGCAGGCGATAGAGGGTCTATTTGTGGCAGAGTTTGATAACTTGAACTACGTCTTTGACAGGGAGGAATGGAGCGACGTCTATGAGTCAACGTGCCAGGTCCCGCTGCAGGACTTTACGAAAACGCTGCGCGAATTGAACGGGCATATTCAGAAGAACCTGTTGACAGACTGCTTCCTTGGATTTGAGATCTGCGGCATGGTCCGGACGCTATCGATGCGACTTCAAAAGCAGACGGGAGCGCTGAAGGACCAGATCTATGACAGCGTGAAGCCGGTTCGTGAGACGTCGAAAATGTCATTGAGCAAGATGTTGGAAGACACGAGGTCGAAAACACAGGCTCTCATCGCCGTTCCTATCGATGGTGGTCCTGTCGACATTACAACGCAGACGATGCGACGCCTGCAAGAGATGACTAACTACCTCGAACCTCTCGCGTCGATATTGGCATCGTTAGGAGAGGGTGGCTGGAACTCGGGGACAGCTAATAACTCCTCCACGGCTCTGGACGTTGGACCGGACGGCGTAAAGTTGTTCGGGTCCTATGCAGCCGATACCGTTGACACACTACTGCAGAATTTGATTGGAAAAGCAAAGATGTTGTTGAAGGGCAAGAATCTACAGGGTATCTTCATGGCAAACAACGTCGCCATCATCACGCGCATCATTCGCTCTTCGGAACTCGCACCACTCATGGACGACTACTCCAAGAAGCTTGCCGACTGGCGTAAGCAAGGTACAGCCATGTACCTTGAAGCGTGGCGTGAGCCATCAGGGTATCTACTGGATGTGCAGTACACAAACCGTAGCAAGGAGCGACCAACATCAGGCGGTGCAGATTCGGCAGCTATCGTGAAGTCTCTTAGCTCGAAAGACAAGGATGCGATCAAAGAAAAGTTCAAGAACTTCAATACAAGCTTCGACGACCTTGTCACACGGCACAAGTCGTACGCAATGGAACCCGAAGTGCGGAACCAGCTTTCCAAGGAGGTACAGAACATCATTGAGCCACTGTACAATAGGTTCTACGACCGCTACCGGGAGATCGACAAGGGAAAGGGCAAGTACGTTAAGTATGACAAGACTGAGTTGAACAGGGCATTGGCGAGCTTTGCATAGCGGGGTGCGGTGACTGCGGCGTTGGTTTGGATTTGTTTGCCTGGGACATGCGCAAAATACCCTTTGATTTGCATAGATAAGATGATGAGCTGGTATGGGTATACAGGGGGAGCGATGTAATTGGATAGGTGTCGAGTCTGGCACCCCGTGTACTGTAGTGCCACGCTGCAGCAGCGTGAGAGTCAGCGTTGGAGATGAGACGGCGGTGTCGAAGTCATGGCAGATAGTCATAATGAAGCAGCGACCTAATGTCTACTAGGTAGTAACGCGCTGCTCGTGCCTTCTAATTAGCCACACGTGACGCTACCTCTTTGGGAAGCACGGTTCGCGACTGCCTCTTGTAGGAGTGCACAAGAGCACAAAACATTCGACAACGTGAAAGGTGTCAACTGCCATCCCTCCTACATTCTCCCTCGCCGGCCTCTCTGCAATTCGACGTGTGTTGTTTCCAGCGATAGTCCGCACCGACACGCTGCTAGTGGTGACGCGGGGATTTTTGGTCTAGTGCCCATTGCTTCGGCGTTGCTCCAATCGCGCCCATCCCTGTGCGGACCCCTTTCCTACCCAGCGACGGACGGCACCACGACTTCCCTTCCCAACGTCGCAGCCTCCGGACAACCACGCCATTTTCCTTCGCAGCCCACTGCACCACTTCAATTCATTGCTTTGAGTGCATCACTCACTCGAGAGCATAACTACCGCTGACTGGTACGCCGTCCTTCCTCCACGCCTGTTTCACTTTATTTCTCCAGATCCCTGGCTTGGGTCGCGTTGTACATTTGTCTAGCAGCAGCCACGCCAGCCAGCACCACCACGGCCTGCATGCATTGAGAGCCTCCGCTGACATCGCTTCTCCATCTACAGAAGTCCCTCACTTGACGGCCCATCGCCTGCGTTTACTACACTATTTACACCATGGGTAAGGAGCTTGCCCCGGCCCCCGTCTCGCGACATCAACAACTACACCTGAGCTACAAGACCATTGGCACCTCAGGCACCCACGCAATAGCCAAACAGCAAAGTGCGGCAGGCCCAATGCAGTTCTGCACTGCTTGCTGCTTCTGCGCTCGACGGCCATGCCCTCTCTCTCTTCTCCTGGCCCCTGGCTAACACATTGCTTTAGAATCCGGTGCTACCTCTCCCGCGCCGCCTACCCGTGCGTCCCCATCGCCCCCAGCGTCATCCAGCGGATTTGGCATGGATCAAACGATGTCGATGTCTAACGGCTCCTCTCCAGCGGTCCACACCATCACGGCGAAGAACCCCAAGGCCGCAGCTGCCATGGCGAACGACATGAACATTGTGCGCAGGAAGCTCACAGGCTACGTTGGTTTTGCGAACCTGCCCAACCAGTGGCACCGCAAGAGTGTGCGCAAAGGGTTCAACTTCAACGTCATGGTTGTCGGTAGGTGTGCCCCCGCCCTCTGTTGTCAATCGGAGCTAACGTGTCATTTCAGGCGAGTCTGGACTCGGAAAGTCAACCCTCGTAAACACACTCTTCAACACTTCACTGTACCCTCCCAAGGAGCGCAAGCCCCCGAGTCTCGACATTTCCAAGACCGTTTCGATACAGTCCATCAGCGCCGACATCGAGGAAAACGGTGTTCGTCTGAGATTAACAGTTGTTGACACACCTGGCTTTGGCGACTTCATCAACAACGATGAGTCGTGGGATCCAATTGTCAAGAACATTGAGCAGCGGTTCGATGCCTACTTGGACGCTGAGAACAAGGTCAACCGCATGAACATTGTCGACAACCGCATCCACGCCGTTGTTTACTTCATCCAGCCTACTGGCCACTCCCTGAAGCCCATCGACATTGAGGTGATGAAGAAGCTTCACACCAAGGTCAACCTCATTCCTGTCATTGCCAAGGCCGACACCGTTACTGACGATGAAATCGACAACTACAAGAAGAGGGTACGTTGCTTTTTCTGAGCTCCCCCTTTTCGACTTTGCTAACAGTCACAGATTCTTGCAGATATCGCCTACCACAAGATCCAGATCTTCGAGGGACCACGGTATGAGCTTGACGACGAGGAGACCATTGCCGAGAACCAGGAGATCATGGCCAAGGTTCCCTTCGCCGTTGTCGGATCCAACACCGAGGTCACGACCGTCGATGGCCGCAAGGTTCGCGGGCGTGCGCTGCCCTGGGGTGTTGTTGAGGTTGACAACGAGGAGCACTGCGACTTCGTCAAGCTACGACAGATGCTCATCCGCACGCACATGGAAGAGCTCAAGGAGAACACCAACAATGCTCTGTACGAGAACTACCGTTCCGAGAAACTTGCACAGATGGGCATCCAGCAAGACTCCAGCGTGTTCAAGGAGGTCAACCCTGCTGTCAAGCAAGAGGAGGAGCGCTCGCTGCACGAGGCCAAGCTCCAGAAGATGGAGATGGAGATGAAGATGGTGTTCCAGCAAAAGGTGCAGGAGAAGGAGAGCAAGCTGCGCCAGAGCGAAGAGGAGCTGTACGCCCGTCACAAGGAGATGAAGGACCAGCTAGACCGACAACGACAAGAGCTCGAAGAGAAGAAGGCCCGCATCGAGTCTGGCAGGCCGATCGAAGAGAAGGGCAAGAGAAAGGGCTTCTCCCTCCGCTAAGCGCCATGCCGGCGTCACGATCGTCCCTCCCCTCCCGCTCCGGACGACACACGCCTCTCAGCCACCTCTTCTCAGTTCTTCACACCCTCTTACCAGACCTTGTTTAATATAATGCGGCCGACGATACCACTGGGTGCTATCGGTAAAAGGGATAATACACTACGATGGAACATTGGGGACGATGCACAGCAGTGTCACATGTTGGTGCAGTTGTCCGGATTGTTGATTGATACCAACGTCTTTGCGCTCCTTTCCGATTCCCTTGCTTCACCTTCGGCATTTTCTATTATTTAGTATTCGGCAGACGTAGTTCGGAGCGAGGAGTGTCGGACAGGTTCTTTTCATGTACTCTACAGACTATCATAGGCAATTTCATTTGTGGGCAAAACGCGAAGCTGATTGCAAACTAGTGATGTTTCTCAACAAACAATGCGACTCGGGTGGAGAAACAACAGTGACGACATTGTGCTTGCTGCGAAGACGCTTACGAGCTTGCGAAGACGCCGGCACATGGAGGCCTGGCTGGCGGCTGAGGGGATCGTCAGGGTGCAGGCGTGGTAAGGGTGCACGGGCTTGTGCTAGCCCACTCCAGAATTGCAGCTTGCCATGCCATGTCGTCACCCCCCAAACGCCCGAATTCTGGTTTGCTGCCCGCTTTCCTACTCCCTTGGGAACGTACAACCACACCATTACTCTGCTCTCACATTCCTCTGCGTCGACAATCCTCGCAACTACAGAGCAACTTTACTAAGGTCCCGGACCTGATTTCTCAATCGGTAAGTCGACCCCGCCTATCAGGCACGGCGAATATCACGAGCGGGTCCCGAACGCCGGGCAGCACCAGCAGTTTCCAGCACCCAGCCACCACTGTGGACACATTGCACCTTGACATCCTCTCGCAAGGCAGCAGATCATTTCCAGCGGTCGGCCATTCCTCCTGTTCTACATAGGAAGCCGCATTCTCTTCCCCAGATCTTTACTGACGTTGCAAGCTGCCTATTACGTAGCCCACACGACAGTTTCCAAAATACACACAATGGCACCCCCACCTCCTGCCTCCATGCCTTTGGGCCAGCGCCTTGCTGCCCTTGCCCAAACTCTCCAGTTTGCTTGGTTCGCCGGACACGTTACCCTGCTGCTCGCTACTTTGCGATACAGCTTGTCCTACATCACCTTCAACTACTCCTCGCGATGGGCCGCCTTCTCTTACCGCACTGCCTTCCTGTCGGCATGCGTCACATACGGCATCGTAGTCTACAAGGCCTACCGCGCCCGCATGAGGGCCGGAAAGCAGGGCGGTGTCGTCGCTCTTGCTACCGATGAGAACGTTCAGTACTTGAGTAAGTCTTCTACGAGGCTGTGCATAGCCTTTCCCCCCCACGTAGCACGTGCTAACTATTTGGCAGTCATGGCTCTCGTCTGGCTCTTCTCGCGCCAGATCCCCCTTGCCATACTCCCCTTCTCCGTATACTCCGTCTTCCACGTCGCTACCTATGTGCGCTCCAACCTGCTGCCCACCATCCAGCCCCCACCCGCTGCTCAGGCCGGCGCCAAGCCACAAGGCTCCGCCGCCTCCGAGGCTATTGGCAAGTTCGTCAAGGAGTACTACGATGGCTCCATGACTCTTGTTGCCCTACTTGAGATCTTCCTCTGGTTCCGCGTCCTCGGCTCTGCCATGCTCTTCCAGAAGGGCTCATGGATCCTCCTCGCTGTCTACACTGTCTTCTTCCGCGCTCGCGTTGCGCAGAGCAGCTTTGTCCAGGAGGCTATCAACCAGCTCACTGCCCGCATTGACGCTCAGCTTGCCAACCAGAGCACTCCTCCCGCTGCCAAGCAGGGTTGGGCTACCTTCAAGGGCATTGTCAAGCAAGCCGGCGATGCTACTGACATCCGCAGGTACGTTGGCGGACAACAGGGAGCCCCTAAGAAGGCACAGTAAGCGTTTCTCTACGCTTGCGATAATGTCCCCGCCTCCAATCGCGCACGACAACATACGTGTTGGAAGGTTGTGGTACCATTCTTGACGAAGATACGGCAGTCATGACGAAGAAGACAATAGACATGTTTGCGTCGCCTGTGGACGATCGAAGGAAAAGTGTTTGAGTCGGAATTTGGTCGTTAACGATATCCCAAATGTGCGAGGCTGGTTCAGTCTGGAGTAGTTGACAGTATAGTAGGATAGTATGGGTCGAAGGAATATATGGCCATACAGGATTTGCGCTTGGAGGAGGATGTTAGGATGAATTCTCCCTGTCTTCACGGAGAAATGTGGTGTTTCTGGTCTGTTATCATGTTCGCAATCGCAGTACAATCAATGTTCATATTGTTATTTGAACCCTATACATGAATGTGGTTGTGCTTAGTTAACATAATCTGGGTAGCACATGATCACAGCGTGCACACTGTTTTGACGGTCTCGGTGCGACTTATTGTGATGTTCAATTGTGACGTTCATGCGCCCGTCTTCAGTCAACCCCATACATTAGCGCTTACATCCTTCTCACATCCCATCCCGCCCCAGTGTTTGAAACGTGGTGTTTTGATAGGACTTATTATGATCGGCCTTGTGTACAGGGAGTGCAAGTGGCGTTGGACATGCTCAGTACTTTTTTCTTTACCTTCTTCGTGACAGTAAACTTGGAACAGTATCTATAGTGTATGCTCTAGGTCGTTGTACCTAATACCAAAGTCGAAAGACGATTCTACCATATATATATATATGTCTGTCATAGTATTCAAATTAGGTAATGCAGTATTCGGGTAGATGTGTTCGGGTCTCCGCTTATGGAACTGATACAAAAGGTGTGTGAGAACTAAATATTGAGTGACGAATTAGATGTGAGAAGACACAACAACATGGCAAGGATAAGAGGAGAGTCATGCGTTTCATCGAACTGATTTCGCCGGTAGCAAAAGTAGTGAGGTTTTTCGTCGTTTATCAGCAACATGAGGATCTGTGAACAGCGTTGATCTGTCCAGCTTGGATATGAAAGGATGAGCAAGTTATATTGTTTCAACGTATATTTCTTCATTCGGGATGTCGCACACTTGAGGATATAGCACAAGGGATGTCATTTTAAATCTTTAGTTGCGGCATTGATTCTGTACAGGTTGCAAAGTGTGTATCCAGTCGTCATGGAAGATGTCATCCTTGTATCTTAGCTACTATCCGGTGCTGTAAAGGTTGCAACATCTCTGTATATTGTAGTCTCATATGCACATGTATACACCAACAAGCCTCACACCACTACTCTTTGTCATGCTTGGTGTCCAACTGAAACACCATATGACGCCATCACCAATTTTCGGAGCTTGGTATTCAAGCCATTTGGTATATAACATTATATGTATGTATGCGTTGTCATCAACGGCAAAAGAAAATATCAACTGTCGACTGCCGACATACCCGTCGTGCCCCTGGCGACGGTTTTTGCTTGTTCACGATTTTTTGGTAGCGCAACGGTGGCGGACGGAGGGATATAGAGGAAGAAGGAAACCTGTGATCGAAGTGAGTTTGGAAAGGTGGTTGGTTCGACGCATGCATGTGTTCGTTGTCATCTGATCAATTGGGAATCCGCGGCCGAGATATGAGCGGTGACCCTTTGGTGGTAATGAAGTTGCGGTGAAAAATAAATGCGGCGTTGCTTTGGACGTCTTGTCGAACGCCGCTGTATTGAACAACGAAAAGCTATCATACCTTTCCCAGCTAGGTATAACTGCTTACCTCTTCCAGTAGACGACGAACACCGGCTAAATTCAGGAAGCGAGATGTCAAGAGTGATTGCTTTTGATAAATTTCGGCCCGTTGACGGAAGGGAAAACGTGCTTCTTGTTCAACTTGCTTATGGTACCAGGACGAGCTGAAGAATTGAGCTCTGGCACATGTGACAAGGCATCTTGGCAAGAAATCGATAGTGTTGCCCGCTTAGAACCTGCGGTAAGCGATGTAGATGGGAACTTATGTGCAATTTTTCAAGAAGAAGGAACAAGATGGCTGCAGTGTGAGCGACTGCACGGAGCATGGGATTGTGAAAGATGTGCAATCGATGCATAAAGCAACTTGATGTCGTCCTGAGAGGAGCCCTATCGGCCTTATTTGTACTGCACGTGTGGGTTCTGGCCACATGAAGCAAGTCTTCTACCTTTGGTACGCAGTAGGAATGAATGAGCGCATGGCTTCTCGTGGCTGAATCTAGATGTTTGGGTTGGCCGAGCATCACCGCGTTGTGAAGCATTTGGAATCTGCAACGTTCAGCCGTGAACATTCGGGTGCAGTACCAAGTGTTGAAGTCATCAAATTCTTCAAAGGAGTTGCTGTGAAGATTGTGGTAGATCTAGGCGCGGTTGTTTCCTGGAAGGCTAAAGAATTCTCGACCAACTAGAGCCTTCGGGAGCTACTTACGCCACACACGATGACGCTCCCGAACCAAACAGGTGTTCACAATCTAGACATAAAGTGTAAAGACAGTTTGAACGCTGTTGTTTCAGAATGTCCGAGTGGTTTTGATTGGAGACAATGCTCGATGGTTGTGGCTTGTCAGCCATTTAGGAGACATCAGTAGCGTCCATCGGTGAGGCATGACATCTGTCAGTGTCGGTGAGCCAATCTCGACGTCTGAATCTGTCTCGATCCTGCAGCAAGAAGCAAATCGCGCATGGTGCTGAGTTCGAAAGAGGATGAAGAGTGGAGCCTTGGACTCAGGCCCAGACTCCCGAGGCTCTTGAATGTTGCGTACGTGGCCTCCATCAGTCCACGGAGTCTGTTGAGGTATTCCAACATTGAGGGATCGGAGATGCACGCTACAACCATGACGACAATGTATGCGTCTCATAGCGACGGTTCCTGAAAGTGCGGCGGAAGGTGGCTGCTCGCACAAATTAGCGTAATCGATAGCATTAGTCGTACAAAGCTCGTAAACTCGTTAAGGCTACCGGGCAAATGCTGTTTCACGACTCTGTAGATGCTAAAGATGGAATTTGTCGTCTGTGTTTTTCTCTGTGCGCCAGTATTGGATTGCTCCACCCGCCCCGTAATACTATCGGAGAAAACTAGACGCGATGGACCGTCATACGAGGCGCCGGAGCCGAAATTCCACCAGCAAGTCAGAGCGTTCGGGAGGAAGCTACGTATTCGCGTGTATAGTCAGTTATGGCGACTCGTGTTGTGTGCAGATTTGGTGTTGACGGATCAGGTCAGTATCATGCTGGGTCAAGTGCATGAGGCGAGCGGGTGAGCTGCTGAAGACGGGTTAGGATGACTGCGCCCCAGAGCTTGGATGTGGGGTTCGCAGCGCGCTTTCGTCTGCAACGTCCCCTTTTTGCGAGCTTGGGTGCGGAGATAGGATGCATCCGAACAGCCGTATCGTATCGTATAGCGTGCGTGCTCCCAGGTGCGGAACATAGCGGTGAGGAAACTGGTGCTGGCTGCTCGAGTGGCATCAGCGGCGTGATGGCGTGACGAACGCACAGAATGAGGACTAATGCAGGGCAATTGACAGCGGCGATGCGATCGATGGGATTTGACATGTGCAAAAGATTCTGCAGTCGGAACTACGGGTGAAAAGTGTGATGGTTTGTTTCGCAGTGGAACTTGTGGATAGACAATAATGCCCGCAGTAGTGCTCACAGGCGAGTCGTCGGCGGCTTGGGGGGGTTTGATGCGCGTGTAGGATGGAGGGCATAAGCTTTTCCGACAAGACGATATGCGAGATTGGGGGGGCCCTATACAAAGTTTATGTCGTGTCGGTATTGCAACTGCCAGATGAGTGTCAGGCTGTATGCAGATGAAGAAGTTAGTAACTGCTAGGGTGTTGATCGTGATGGAGTAGACGAAGATCTGGAGAAGACAAGATTAGATTGGGGATCATCTACCACGCAACATCGGCGTACTGTATTCCTGGGTCTCGATTCCCTAGTCGTATAGTTTTAGAAATCACAATGTGTGATGGGCACAACTCCGGACCCGGAACAACATTGACCATTTCTTACCAGGCACCCAGGCGGCTGCACACATCCACAAATCTCACAGCCGCACAAGCCATAGCTCGCATCGGTAGCCCTGACGATGGCGCATAGGGCCAAGTTGTAGCTGGCGCTGGCGCTGGCCTGAGCGGGAGAGCGTGCGCGCGCCTGTAAAAAGATGGCACGGCAGGGAGACGGCTACTGCGAGCTGGAAGGTGCAGGGGACCAGCTAGCGAGCGACGCTACCCATCCGCCGCTTTCACCGTCTCGGTTTTCTTGGTCGGAGCCTGGGTGTGTATATAGACTCGTGAATGCCCTCACTCTACGGGCTCTTCTCCCCACTGACGATATTCCAAACCTGGCTGCTTGGTTCATGACACCCACTGTCCATCGACTCACGACTACTACAACATCACACGACCAAGTCTCCAACCATCTCGCTTACACTTCGCCGACACCGCCGTACTACCGACAGAACACATCAACATAGTTACAGTTCGGGAAAAAGGAAAAAAGACAACACAATGGACTACTCTCCAGCACTATCTATCAACAGCGAAATGACAGACGAAGAGTTGGACAAGTACTTTGCAAGTTGTGTTCCGCTGTCCAACCTGCCAACCCCTCCGCCAGCAAAGGAGCCCACACCAACTCGGGTATCAACACCAGCCGCCCAAACATCGACACAGTCACACGACATCATTAGCCCTCCACAACACGAAGGTTAGTTCACTTTTACCTCACATGTCAAATCTCTGTTTACGGCATGTGGATGATGGTGTGTTTGAGTCGGACCGGGCGGCAGAGCGACGTTCCCCTGCATACGCCGCCTTGGCCCTCGTCATGCTTCATCCCAGATGCTCCTTTTCCAACTCAACACTCCTTACTCCACAAATTCGACGTGTTCCTGTCGATCTTCTAGTTGTTCCACCAACACCCCTCCACCTAGGATTAATGCTGTTGCCACTTCCTTGATTT